CTGCATTTATTATCATTTGCTATATTAATAGCTACTAACTAGAAATTAGGTAAAGAGGAAAGCATGGTAAACAACACGGCTGTGGAGTCCAGCAGCTTCTCTCTTTTTTTGTTTTATTATTATTAAATATGACCCCCCCCTTCTCCCTCCTCCTTTCCTTTGGAACTTTTCCCTTCCCCATACTACATTCCAGCCTCCCCCAGTGCAGTGACATCGAGAACTTCGGATGCTGGGTCACCTGGCCAGACCCTGGGCCCTCCAGGAAATTGCTGCTGAGTTGGGTGGTCACAGCGTGTTTTGGGGGGCCCTGGTTACTTGTTTTCAGTTTGAGAAGCTTGAAGTTGAGCTGTTTAATTTGGAAAAGGCGCAGGGTGGGATGATGAGAGGCTTGGCTCTCACTTGTATTTATATAGGGTGGCTGCTGAGGTGGGGTCTTCTTTGTGGCTCTTATTGCCGGGTTTTGTTTTTTAAAGAGAAAGTCTCTCTCTTTGCACCCTCCCCTCTTGCCCCCCCCATACATTTCACTACCATCTTTCTGGTAGTTCATGCTTCCTTGCTTTGGCATTCAGGCCCCTACTCTCTGTAGGAAAACTGTTTGAGAATACTTTTTTTTTTTATATAGGGAACTTTAAGACCATCATTACGCTGTGCGTAAAGAATGTACAGAGAAATTTGTAGGTATTTTTTGAGGAACAATTAATTTGTTAATGATATGTAGCTATTTAATTTTTCCCTTTCCTATTGTAATCATTCATTTTTTTTTTGTTTGGAGAAAAAAGTTGATCTTTTTTTGTTTTAGAGTTGTCTGTGATACAGTAAAAGTGCAGGAACACAGTTATTCTATGAGAACACTGCATTTGCATTACTAGCCACTAGTTTGTTATCGCTACAGGCTACTGAGTGTTGTAACAGGAAAATACTAACACTGTAGATGGACTCTGTGGACAGTGTGACTCCTAATGACATTTCTCGAACAACATGGTGAAGACGGTCCTTGTTCTATCTATTGGGAAAGCAGTGTCAATAACAGCTGGGTCCCTGGGGGCAGTGACTTATCTGCGATAGGTCAAGATAGAAGTGGGTGGGACGGGACAGATTGAATGGGATGGGATGTACCCCAGCCCAAATGCTCTGAGAGGAGGGAGCGTGGGGAGAGGGGAAGCAAACATTTCACGGGGAAAGAATGAGCTCCCTGATCGGAAAAAAAGCACAGTGAAGTTTCTTCACCAAGCTGAGCTATCTGCAGTTCATTCTGAACCATGCTCTCCATGTGTGTATATCTGTAATATACCATTCTCTGTGGCCTGTTTCACCTGGACGAAGAAGAAAAAAAAAGGTTTGGCAGGCCATCTTTTTTTGTACTTAAAAGTAGCCTTAAAGAACAATAAAGTGCTCTTAAAACCAACGCTTGTTTCTGACCCTGCTTGCTTGAAGTTGCTGCTGGGGATGGGGAGATGATGGGGCCGGGAAGGGTATATCTCTCACTGTTGGGGGAGGGCTGCCGGGGGATGTGGATGTGTGAACATCCATCTAACTCTGACAGCTACCGCAGCTGCCACGAAACAGGTAGAGGAGCTGGCCCACAGCAAGGCTCTGCTTCTGGGAGAGGGCATACCCCAGCCTTCAGGCTTGGAACCACCCTTGCATTTTGACACCCCAAGTAGCCGTCCAAGGCAACAGTTCCAGGAAGGATATGGGTCAGTCAGACGAGATAACCTCTAGCCTTTGCAAATCTTAAAGTGCTATAGAAATGCTAGTAGCTACTAGTACTATTGGGCGCTGGGTGGTAAAGCGGGTAGAATGCTGGAGTCTGGAAGACCTGAGATTTACTACTGAAGTTACTAGTGTAACTCTGGGGCAGCTGGGTAGCACAGCAGGTACAGCATGGGGCCTGGGGTCAGGAAGACCGGAGTTCAAATAGGACCTCAGATACTTAGTAGTTGTGTGACCCTGGGCAAGTCACTTCACCCTGTTTGCCTCAATTTCCTCATCTGTACAATGAGCTAGAGAAGGAAATGGCAAACGACTCCAGTATCTCTGCCAAGAAAACCCCAAATGGGGTCACAGAGAGTCGGACATGACTCAACTCGACAACTATTGTTATTTATTGTAAGAAGCAGAGCCTCCAGCTAGAACTGGAGGTTCTTAACCTGGGGTCCATGAACTTGGGTTTTTTTTTTAATGTTTTGATAGTTGTATTTCAATAGAATTGGTTTCCTTTTTATGTATTTAAAAAGTCTTCTGACATTTGTTGGCCTCACCAGACTACTGGAGGGGTCCATGACACACACACACAAAAGACAAAGAATCCCTCGCCTATTCCTCTCTCAGAATCCAAAAACTTTGTTCTTATGGTCAAAGGCTTGGGAGGGAGACATGGGGCATTTATTTACCCAACGCTCAGCACGTGCCATCCACCGGGCAAAGTGATGGATTCACAAATAGAGCACACCAGAACTTCAGTTGGCTGCACAACCATGCTAAGGGTGCTCCCATCAACAGTTCCCCAGGTATGATCATTCATGATGGCAGCATGCATCAGTGTCCTGAATGTTCCCCTCTAAAGAGAATTCTGATACTTTGTTTTGATACATCAGTCACTTTGCAGTAGCCAATAGGATCTTCCCATTAAAAAAAAACCATGTAATGCATCAATGGCTTTTGATTTGTGCTGACTTAGTATAAGTAGCTTTGATCTAAGAGAAAAACCATCCACTGACTGTCCCTCTCCTGGGCCTCAATGGTGGGCTCCCACATACTGTCACCAGTCTCCTCCCAGCTCACATGTGCACAAACACACGGATAGTGAGGCAGGAGTGTTTGCCTTAGGTCCCAGGGACCCAAGACTCCTCAGGTCGGGAGTATGACGTGGAGATCTATGTGAGGTGCCTAAGAAAGCTGCTGTCTGAGGATGCCAGAGGGGTCTTCCCACTAGACTAAAGGCAAGCAAAGATCAGAGCCATCTCTCACTTCTAAAATGAAAACTTTTTTTTTTTTAAATGAAATTACTGTGCCTTATGGGCTAGAGAAATGTGACTGAGGTCCTAGCAAAGATAGTATCTTGGTGTTCAGTTTGGCCCACGGCAGTCAGAGGGCCAAGCCTGGACAGGACCAGCTGGGTCATCCAGGGACCAACTACAGCCTGGCTGAGCTCTGTGGACCCCAGAGGTGCAAGTCTCCTTAGGGTACATTCTCCCTTGCAGCTTCTGCCTTATTACCAGGCCTCCTTGTCTTCCATGGGATACACTGGGCTTCTCTGTTGACTGGCTGCTCCTAAGAGTTCCTTTGTCTCTACATTTAACTGTTTCCAGAATCGTTTTCCTAAGAGCATTAGGGAGTTAAACCCTGCCCGTGCCTAGATCCATGATCCTATGGGGACAACCGGGCCATAGGGTTGCCAAGGGTCTTTGGACCACTGCCATCATCATTCCAAACACTGCGTGGAGGACAGAGGGCCCGGGGTTTCCCAGTACAGTCGTTGGGTCCCTTGTGATGTCCTGATCTCTGGCAAACCCTTGGATGTGCTACACAAAGGACGGTGTGCACATTATGCTGAATAGCTCCGTGAACTGGATGAATGGTGAGTTAGCATCGCATGTCGCAAGGGCCTGGCTAGTGTTTGATGGACACCAAAAGATAAAAAACCCCACCTCCCCGCCGTGAGTTTGAACATGCTGGGTGGCAGCTGGGTGGTGTGCTGGGTGGCAGCTGGGCCTGGGGTCAGGAAGAGGAGTTCAGAAAATGGCCTCAAGACACTTCCTAGTTGTGTCACCCTGGGCAAGTCACTGCTGCCTGCCTCAGTTTCTTCAATTGTTAAATGGAGATAATAACAGCACCTACCTCCCAGGGTGGCTGTGGGGGTCAAATGAGATATCTGAAAAGTGCCCAGCACTACAGTGCCTGGTAAATAATGGCGCTTAATCAATGTTTGTTCTCTTCCCATTCCTGAAAGACATAGTTGTAGTACTAGTCATGCCCTAAATTCACGTCTTTGCTTTGCTTTATGATGAATGCGCTGTGTGGCTGTGACGTAGGCACGAGGGATGATGGAGAATGGGTGGGGCTGGGGGTGTGGGAGAGGCCATTCTTGAAGCAGGTTGGCTTCCTGGGGCCCTAAAGGAGGGGCCTCACTGTCCAGGGAAGTAAGCCACACGCTCCTAGTATGGTTTTTCAGAGTGGCCAGGAACATTCCCCCAGCTCATCACACGAAGGCTCAGGCCGATGACTGTCATTTGAAAACAGTCTCAGGAGGAAGACTCCATCTTGTCTTTGTATCACCCCGGCAGAGTTCCCTGGCTGGTGCCGCGGGCCGGCATTGTCAGAACTGCTCTGTGTCAAAACAAAGGCTAACCCTTGTGGCTGACCTCATCAAGATTCATCACTTGAGAGTCTCCTTTGAGCAGAAATGTGCCGTGTCCAGGGCCTGGGAACTTTCTGAGGCTTTCCTTTTCCCCTTCCCTGGTCCTTTGCCCCATCTACTCTGCTTGCAGGAGCATAACCTGCAGCGTGGGCTCACTAAGCCTTGTCTCAGGGGTCATGCGGTCCAAACACAAATTCATACATGTGGCAAGGGGGGAGGCCCATTTCAGAGGTGTCTAATCTTTCTGAAGCAGCCATCTTAATTAAGAAATGGCTCCTTAAGAACATGTGATGCTGCGGCTTCTGGCCAGGACAGGCTGCAGACATGGAGTCAGGAGATGGAAGGGAACTGGGTAGCTAAGGCAGAAGAGTCTCTGCTCTCCCTGGAGAAGGTTAAGGTATATGGAGATGCATCTGTGCACTGGAAAGGGAGTGGCAGGTAGGTAGGGACTCGGAATCTGGGGGAGCTAACCCACAAAAGTCAGAAAGGATACGTGAAAACTCACAGACCACAAGGGAAGCCAAGAGATGGACACAGATACTCAGCTGGTAGGAAGAGCTAAAAACAGAAAATGCCAGCTGGGCCAGTGGAGGCCTCAAATTAATCAATGAAACCCCCCCCCCCCACACACACACAGAAGTGTTCTATGGACTCTTTTTAATCCCTGTTTTCACCCATTCATATGGCTTTCATCATACTGGATGGCATTCCCCTGCCCTTCTCACAGACTGGTCCCAAGGCCCCTTCTCTCCTCCATCCCACTCTTTACCCTGGGCCAGGGTAAGGTGCTTCTCTGGACACAGACACAGGTGAGAAAACAATCAAGAGCTGACCTCCATGGAGCTCTCTCAATGAGGAAGCCTGCCTGCAGGGCAGGGGCCCACCAGGCTCTTGAAACACAGAATGTTGGAGCCGGAAGGGACTTCAGAACTGCAGCACCAAGCCCAGCCCCTTCATTTCACAGATTAGGAAACAGAGATGAGGTGACCCGCCTATGATCACGGAGCTTGATGGTGAGCACTGTCCTGTGTAATGTCCACAGGTTCCTCTCTGGCCTTTACTGTCTCGCAGTCCAGATCAAAGGTTTGGGACAGCACCTATGGGAATTGGCTTGCTGTTGGCAAGCTTGGAGCTGAGCCAGGCTCAAGATATGGCAGAAATGGCTTTCCATCCCTGTCTCTGCCCTCTTAGGGCATTGTGGGGACTGTGCCATGCACACCAGCGGAGGGGAGGGGATGAGAAGGCCCTATGGGGGATCATGTTATTGCTGTGCTTCTGACCCAGAGTGGGGTCTGAGGGGCCTCTGGGAAAGGCCTGTAATCTCCTTTAACACAAGCACTTGGTTCTGGGCACCTAAAGCCAAACCCATGGGGTCTGGGAGAACACTAGAATTCCTGGTCCAAGAGGAGGAGATGATAGGATGGGCTTCCTACCCCGCTCCTGGCTTGTTGACAGGGCCTTTCCCACACTCAGGTATTCTAGAAGGAATGAGAGCATGGTGTGAACATTCCCTTCCCAATAGGCAGCATGGACACCCTAGGTTAAAAGGAAGGAATGAGAAGGTGGCAGGGACATTTTGGTTACAATAAGGAATGGCAGGAAGCAAGGCATTCTTCTTTAAAAAGGGGTAACAATGCACATGGGCAGCTATTTCTTTTTTCCTCCAGGACTTTTCTGAATGCTGTGAACCAGAAGCCATCAGACCACAGGACAGAGCTGTTTTCCTCCTGCAGAATGCCTGGTTCTTCCCACCTGTGGGGGTAATCCCTGATAGTCTGAATATCAAAAATTTGCCAAGGTTAAGGAAAAATGGGAGCTTGAGGAAGGATCAAAGCCCTAAGCATGGAAATTCCAAAGCAAATCAGCCCAGGATTGATGGGAAAAACAAGTAGAAAAATGGAAACTGTCTGTTATGGAGAGTAGGTATGTATGTGAGCCATGAGTCACAGCACAGAATATACACGGTGAGCAAGCGTTGGTCTACAAAACCCCATCTCCAAAGGAAGTGTAGACACAGAGGTGAAGAGAATGACAGCTCCCAGAGCAGTCAGTTGGGCTTTCGGGCCCGAGGGCAAATCGGCTCCTGGGTACCAGCTGGGTCTGGGTAAGAAGCAGGCCAAGCCAGGAGATGGTGGCTGGTCACCTGGAGCCCGAGGCCACCAGGAATCGGTTCCTGCTTCAAATGGTGTCGTCGTCACTCATGTCCCAGATCTGCAAGGAGAAGATGGCAGCAAAGTGTTACTCAGGCTGGGGGCACCGCTGTGCTCTGATTCAATTCAACAAGCAGCCGTCTCTTTAGGAAAAATGTTAGCCTGAACAGGTGATAAAAGCACGGGGTTCAGAAAAGGCGCCACACAACACGAAACTGAAAAAGGGCCAGGAGGAGGCCGGGGTTAACTGAGCGCATTATTTCTTATTACTCCTGTTTGTGCATTCTCCACTCCAGTCAAACTGGCCCACTACCTGTTTCCTGTACAGGACTTTCCATCTCCTGCCCTGAAAACTGTCGCATAGGCAACATCGGGAATGCATGCCCTTTCTTACTCCCCCCTCATAGGGTCAAGGCTCCAGCGCCCCTGCCTCCCCTGTCCAGCCTTTCCTGACTCCCCCAGTCCTTGGGGCTTTCTCCCTCTTGAGATTACTTTATATTTACTTATCTTTGTTTATATTGTATTCTCTCCACTCCCAACCCCGCAAAGGTAGAACATAACAAGTTTCTTGAAGTTTGGTTTTAAGTTCTGTACCCCATAGCACCCAGCACATAATAGGTACTTAATAAATGCTTGCTGGGGCAGCTAAGTGGTGCAGCGGATAGAGTACTGGCCCTGGAGTTAGGAGGACCTGAGTTCAAATCTGGCCTCAGACACTTACTAGCTAGGTGGGTACTGTGTGACCCTGGGCAAGTCACTTAACCCCCAGTGCCTCCAAAATTAAAAAAAAAAAGATGCTTGCAGAATTTAGCAAGTTTCCAGCTAAGGAATCCTGACTTTGGGGTCAGAAGAACAGGGCTTTGAGTTCCTGATCCAGGCTCTGATACTTATGAGCTCTATGGCCGAAGAGGAGTCATGTACTCTCTCTCAGCCTCAGTTTCCTTATCTGTAAAGTGGTGAGAATAATAATTTTTACTACCTATGGTTAGCGAGGAAAGTGTTTTGTAAACTATAAAGTCATAGAAAAGTAAACTATTATTCTAGATTGGAAAGAAGATATCAAGAAATGGGATATATTATTTATTAAGCAGAGGAATTAACTAAATAGTTAGACTTAAGCAATGGTACAAAGAAGTCATCAATGTTCATGAAGATAGCTGAAGACAGGACTATAGACCCAACCCACAAGTGGGGAAGGCAGCCACAGTGCACAGTGCTGGGCCTGGAATCAGAAGGACCTAAGTTTAAATTCGGCCTCAGATGCTCACTAGCCGTATGACCCTGGTCAAGGCACTTAACTTCTGTTTGCCTTAATCCATTGGAGAAGAAAATGTCAAACCACTCCAGTATCTTTGCCAAGAAAAGTCCATATGGGGTCCTGAAGAATCAGACATGACGAGGCAACAAGAAGTGGGCAGCAGGTGGTTAGCATGGACAGGGCAAGGGGTCTGAGAGTTATAACCAGAAACATTTGTTGAAGCTGGAGGTGCTGGAGGTGACAGAAGGCACAGGTTTTCTTAGGAAGACCTCCTTAAAGCAGCAACTGATGCTGCTTTAAGTTTAATGGGAGAAGGGAAACAGAAACATAGAATTTCAGAGCTGGAAGGGATCTTATTTAACAAGATGAGAAAAGTGGGGCCTGCCCAGTCAATGAGTGACCCATCTGTAAGGAAACCCTGGTTCTTGCTCTCCCACTCCATGTCCTTCCTATTGTAGGCACTTAGCTATTTTTCTTTTGACTTTGCTCTCCACTGGATCTCGACTTGCTTGTACAACAAATATTTTAAAATATTCCATGGGTTACAGTGTCACATCCAGCCTCTGCATCTTCTCTTCATCCTTCTGGATACAATCTGCCCACACACCACCCTGGGTGGTCATAGGTGTCTTCTCTGCTATTTCTGATGTCCAGATCATCATTGGAAATGGGCCATAGCCACCAACACGCACCACATTCAGATGTATCATTAGCCTTGATTTCAGTGAGGTGAGTTTCTGATGTTTTGAGAAAAGTTGGGATAATCTTCTGCCAAGGATGTTTTACTCTGGGGGGAATTTGGGAATTGAGCAGTGTGCTGGATTGGATGACCTCCAAGGTCCCTTTTAGCTCAAGATTCCATTAACGCAGTAATTAAAGATTGTTAATAATAATAAGAATATGGTTACTTTAATCATATAATAGAAAAGATATTTATTACAAATGTACTGTTGACTATAATATTTCTGATCTCCATTCTCTACATCTGAAGTCTATGCACTATGCTCTAAAATTCTGTTCATTTACTAGCAGGAGGAATGTTAGCTTTTAATTATTCCTTTTTGTTGACCCTTCCTCAGTTACCCTCCCACCGCTGTGGGATCGAGATTAAAATGTAATTGGGAAATGTTTAACAAAATAAATAAAAATATAATAATACATAGAGAATACAACATTTTGAATTACATCGATATGGGGCCCACAGGTCTCCTTCTGTAAGGATTAGTGGCTTCAAGTTTGACACCACTGTTTATATACCACCTCTCCTTTCTCCTGTCTCCTCTCAGTTCCCTTGGCATCTCAGACATGGCCTTCTTCTGGTTCTCCTACATGTCTGACTCTTCCTCATTCTCCTTTGCTTGACCATTATCCATCCTCCTTGGTGGTTCCCCAGTGTTCTAGCCTGGTGTTCTTCTCTTCTCTCTTTATATTCTCTTCCCGTCACTGTCTCATCTAAGTTCAATTATCTGTGTGTTGATGAGTACAAAATTGACATGCTGAATTCTAATCTCTCCAACTTCAGTGGGATGAAATACCTGCTTGACAGCTACCCTTGGATGTCCCAGCAACCCCTTAGACTCAACATGTCCCAAATGGAACTTGTCATGTTTCTCCTAAACCTTGGCTTCCTCCAAACTTCTCTTTTTCTGCCCATGATCATCTTCCCTGTGAACCAGTCTCATGACCTCAGCATTAGCTTTGACCCTTCTTCCTCACTCCCCCTCTTTAGTCAATTGCCAATCTACTGATACTACTTCTGCACCATCCCCTCTTCTCCAATCACAGTCCTCACTTTAATTTGGGCACTAATCATTTCTTAGCCTCCATTAGTTTAATAGTCTCCTGACTGGTTTTTCTTGCCTCCGTTCTTTCCCTTTCTCAGTCCATATTCTAGAGAGTTATCAAATAATCTTCCTAAAGTGCAGGTCTGACCAAGTCTCTCTGCTGCCCAAAAAAAGTTCAGTGGATTCCTATTGCCTTTAGGATGAAATACAAACCTTCAGCCTAGAAACAAAACCCTCCCCAATCTGGTTTCAACCTACTTTTTCACATTTATTTCATATTAGGCCTGGTCACAAGCTCTAAGGTGCTGGCCAAGCTGGACAACATGTTCTCCCTGACCTCACCTCCTACTTGTAAACATCTGCACAAAACTTAGCCATGCCTGTAATGAATTCCTCCCTAATCTCCACCTCTCATGGTCTTGACCATCCAGCAAGGTTCCATTCTAGTGCCATCTCTCTGGCAATGGCTTCTGTAGTCCCATTCTGTTGTGCTCTGTCTCTCTTCAGACTATCTCATATTCACATCTCTCTGTACATGTTCTATCTCACTGAAGGACAGGTGCTCCTTGAGAAGAGAGATGGTTCAATTAGTGCTGACATAGCATGGGGCATTATAAGGAACAGATGTTTAAGAAATGTTTGCTTAATTGAGTTCAGCTAAGGTAGAGGTTGGCTCACTTGGGCATTTAATTTGTTCAGCTAATACCTCTCACTTACAGAATCATCATTTTTCATTTCCAATAAAAATATGGTTCAAGAGTAAACATCCACTCTGTGTCTAGCAGTATGGCGACTGCTTTGAGGGACACACAGAGGAAGAAGACATGATCTTCCTTCAGAAAGTTTCTACTCTTGTTTGGGAAGTTGTGGTAAGAAGACATATAAATGGAAACAAATAATATTGCTAAGCAGAAGCATAGGAGGGGGGCCAAGTTAAGGCAGAATTTCATCACTTGACAGGTCAGAGTGGGTGCCATGGACTCAAGGCTGTCCAGGGATGGGTTCAGGAGACCTCCTTCCTCTTCACCCTTTACTGCCCCAGAATCTACTGCTACTTTTTCTATCTCAACTAACTGTAACAAAGGGTCTGTGGTTGGACTGAGCGAAACAAGATGAGGGGTAGAGTTGCTATTGCATGATTATATTCCGTCTGGGTCCAGAGTCTCAGAGTCTTCAGCACCACTCAAGACCAGAGCCTAAGGCATCTTGCCCCTTCTGGACCTCATCCCGGAGTAGGGCTTCTGATACTAGTCCTCATGTTTGGATTCACTCACAAAAAAATCTTCGGATTGTATATCCTCTATTTATCTGAATACAGAAAAGGAGGATGGAAGATTTTGAGCGATACTGCCTCAGAAAAAGGCAAGAAACAGTGCAAAGACAAACATGTTTGCAGAAAGCTTGGATTTGAGCCAGCTCATCTCAAGAACATTTCTTGGACAACAAAGAAATGGAACACAGATCTGTCAGCATTTGTATTAAAAATATTTGCTTCATCATTAACAATGGAACTACCATATTTGGTCTCACACATCTCAATCCCAGAACTGCTTCATGAGGAAATGGAAGGCAGAGCAGCTAGGCCAGACTGAGATCAGAAAAAGGAAATCCTTGCTGAAGGTGACAAAATATTGAAGACATTAAGGGATCAGTTCTCAAGATAGCTGAAATCAAATTGGGTACTCAGTTGTGAAAAAAATCACAGATGGCTTTACTACCACACAGGCAACTGAGAGGACTTCAGTAACCACTGACTCATGCACTTACTTTTTTTCCTCTCTCTAGAATCTTTGAGAATTTCATGACTATACATATTTCTAATGGGTTTTGTTTTTCTTGCCTTCTCACTGGGGAGAGAGGGGAGAAAAGAAGGAAAGAGATTATTTAAAACTAAAAATAAAATTGGATTTAAAAAAAAAGACTGGTCTATACAGGTACTTAGGGTATTTTTGATGAGAAACATAAGAAGGAAAAAGGCAGGCTTTCACAAATGATATTCTACCACAAACCATATTTTCA